AGTCTAAACTTTACAACCAGATACTAGTCTAAACTTTACAACCAGATACTATTCTAAACTTTACAACCAGATACTATTCTAAACTTTACAACCAGATACTATTCTAAACATTACACCCAGATACTATTCTAAACTTTACACCCTGATACTATGCTAAACTTTACACCTCGATACTATTCTAAACTTTACACCCAGATACTATTCTAAACTTTACACCCTGATACTATGCTAAACTTTACACCCAGATGCTATTCTAAACATTACACCCAGATACTATTCTAAACTTTACACCCAGATACTTTTCTAAACTTTACACCCTGATACTATGCTAAACTTTCCACCTCGATACTATTCTAAACTTTACACCAAGATACTATTCTAAACATTACACCAAGATACTATTCTAAACTTTACAACCAGATACTATTCTAAACATTACACCCAGCTACTATTCTAAACTTTACAACCAGATACTGGTCTAAACATTACACCCAGATACTAGTCTAAACTTTACAACCAGATACTAGTCTAAACATTACAACCAGATACTGGTCTAAACATTACACCCAGATACTATTCTAAACTTTACACCCAGATACTATTCTAAACTTTACACCCTGATATTATGCTAAACTTTACACCTCGATACTATTCTAAACTTTACACCAAGATACTATTCTAAACATTACACCAAGATACTATTCTAAACTTTACAACCAGATACTAGTCTAAACTTTACAACCAGATACTGGTCTAAACATTACACCCAGATACTATTCTAAACATTACACCCAGATACTATTCTAAACATTACACCAAGATACTATTCTAAACTTTACAACCAGATACTGGTCTAAACATTACACCCAGATACTATTCTAAACATTACACCCAGATACTATTCTAAACTTTACACCCAGATACTGGTCTAAACATTACACCCAGATACTGGTCTAAACATTACACCCAGATACTGGTCTAAACATTACACCCAGATACTAGTCTAAACATTACACCCAGATACTATACCAAAAGAGAAGTATTCAGTTCCCAGACCTTATCAAACTATGTAACTAATTATGGACATTTCTCAGTTATAAAATCCACACGCCTTGAATGTTAAAACATAATTTTATTGCAAATAGATATTTACAAAAGAATTGGACACAGGTTCTCACAACTTATCACAGTCCTTTTCTTCAAAAACATGGATATAAACAATTACTCGATAAGGCAATTTACGCAACAGTTATACATTATATGTGTATATTGAAATAGAAAGGTGGGAGGAAGAAGAGACGGAGAGAGTGGAAAAGTAAGACATAGTAGGACAGGAAGAGTCACAGAAAAAGAGAGATAGAGAGAGAAAGATGATCACATTCAGTCAAACCGATTGCATTTGCATACATAATTTGGAACCGATTTTGCGGTAAAGGTGTTTTCTTCTTTGCTGAGTTTTGGATCGCCATATAGGAGTAAATATAAAGTTAAATCTTCCCGAAAAGGTTGTAACTCTTTCATTAATACATGTAGATAGACAAGAACAACCAACCAACAACCACTATCGAATCTACTAACTACATAATAAACGCTACCATAACATCCTGGCACGGAATATTTCGATACGTGATGTTTGTATGTAAATGCTCTACTGTGTAACAGTCTTGTAAGAACAAGATCTTCGTCTTTGTTCTAGAACAGCTGAGTTGCCGCGAAAAGAAAGTCAACATAAGTGTTGTCAGGTTTCTAAGAGAGAATATAACATGTCTTCTATACTAGGACGCGACGCCTTTGCCTCTAATCATACCTTCTCGGAAAGAACGTGCGTACAAAGTCTATGTCAAGGCCGGTAAACGACGTGATTCTCCTGAGTATGCTAAAAAAAATCTCTACAGCAGGAGTTCAAATCACTCCAAACATCTAAATACTATGAGTATATCACCAATGTTGAACATTCTGTAAAAGACAATCTTAAACGTTTTTGGGGATTTGTGAAAGGAAAGAGGAAGGAGGGGACTGTCCCGGACTCTGTTTCATACTGTTCATCGTCGTCTTCCAACAATGTTGAATCTGCAGATGTGTTTAACGCTTTCTTCAAAAGTGTGTTCTGTATGGACGACGATGTTGATCTTCCTCAAATAGACGTAAAAATGAATTTGACTGCCCGCTAAGCACTATTATTTTTAATTGTACCGATGTTCAGAAGGCACTTACACAAAAAGATGTAAAAAAAAAGCTTGTGGCTACGACAACATATCTGGCGTAGTGTTTAAAGAGTTTGCTGATGAATCATGTGTACCAATGTGTAACATTTTCAACCGTTCATTGAAAGATGGTATCTTGTCATTCCCATTTTTATATATGGTAAACGTAATGAAGTTTCTAATTACAGACCAGTATCTTTACTACCAATTATATCTAAAGTTTTCGAAAAACTGGTTGACGATCAGATTTCCAAAGCCTTTGATAAAAAAGTAGAATTACATGCTGTATAAACTGATTTTTCAAAGGCATTTGACAAAGTGAACCACAGATTATTATTGCATAAGTTAAAATTGTATAGCATTTTAGATTGGTTTACTACTTAATTGAAAGACAGATTCTAGCGTGTTACTGTCAATGGGGCAACATCCGGTTGGTGTGATGTAACTTCCGGTGTGCCTCAAGGTTCGATACTTGGACCTAAACTTTTCCTTGTTTTTATTAATAAACTGCTATATGTTGTGAAATTTTCTAAAACCCTTTTGTTTGCCGACGACAGCAAACTTTTTAAGTGTGTAAGAACTGTGAGCAGCTACAGAGCGATATAGATAGAGTGTATGATTGGTGCACTGTGTGGAAAATGAAAGTGAATGTGAAGAAGTGCTGCCAGGTCATTTGTACACACAAGAAGAAATGCATGTATTTTAATTACACTATGAACGGTAAAAACCTGAAGAATGAAATGTGTGTGAAAGATCTTGGTGTTTGGCTGACCTCTTCAATGAGTTTTAGTACCCACATTAGACGTACTGTTTCCAAATCAATGCGAATGCTCGGTTTTATATAACGTACATGTAAAAGTTTTACACAAATACCTGTTTTAAGGTCTCTATATATGTCTTGTCAGATCTTGATTTTGCACCAGACTGTGATATGTTTCGTTCCTCTCTCGCCGAGTTCAAAGTACGGTTAAAGAATATTTGCTATCACTAATTCCTTTTGTTTTACATATGAGTATCTTTTAGTGTGTGTTACATGCATAACTGACTGTGATATTTTATACTTGTGTTGTAATGTTGGTATCCATTCTGTTAGTGGACCCTTGGGTCTGTTGAATTTGAAATAAATAAATAAATTTTCAAAAAATCACGTTGGCATTCGATCAAATGGTAGAGACGAAGTCTGCAAATGTAACATCAGTCGGTATACCTTGAATACATTTCAAAATGAAGTTGAGTGTATTTTTTTCTGTCAACTTAAAACAGGTACGTATGTAACCGTGCTTTGAGCCTTCTGATTACATAGCGATTTGTGTTTTCCATAGAAGTAACAGACCCCTTCTATAAGAATACGAAATTATCTTTGTCCACCTGGTTTTGAAAATCATTCTCAACATCTTCATTATGCGTGAGAGTTCTTGTGAATGTACTGACACATACTCTTCTGGACTTATCGACGGTCTCGTTAACCTTGGTTATAATGTGTGGCCCGATACCTAGATTCTAGTTTCGTCCCGTTATGAGGTTTTCTTAAACTTCAAAACACGTACGGTTAAAATACCTTAGACATATCGATGTGCCTTCACATGATATGTGAGTAGTCAGAGTAGTATATATTCAATACATGAAGAACATAGTGAAGGCAAGGCATATAACGGCTTAAAGGTGCGTGCTACCTTGCAAATATATAAATTATTTCTGTTCGAGTTGTCCCCCTTAGTAACTTCCCGACATCAGCATTATCATAGACGTCAAGGTCAGTTCAAGTGTTACCAAAAGGTTTGTTCTTGTGTGTTTTTCAAGCAGTTTTATCAATTACAATTATTCATCCAATCTACGATTCCTAAGTGTCCTTAAGGGGGAACTCTTATGGAAAGGAGAACCAAAAGCTGGTGTTAACTAAACAAGCGTAGTGATCAGTTAATGTTAAACACAAACTACGTTTAGTTCGTTTGTCATAACAGCTTTATTCTGAACGGATTTCAAGAAAAATTCACAGCACATTTTCCTTACGTAACATAATTCACATCACAATGTTTCATATACATATTCATTGATCATGTAATAAGAACACATGCGAAGCCGTTATACACGTGTGTTTTACACACACACATAACTCACGTGAAGGTGTGCTTCAGAGCACGTAACAAAATACTTCATCAACTCTTCCAAGTTATTTACCATTGTATTATACAAAACCACTTACAATCGCGCGTCCATCACGAAAAATGATTAAACACAAGCGTGCACCAGTGCGCTTTGAAGTTAAAGCACGCAAGTATTAGCCGACATCTACGGAAGGCACTACCCAACAGTAAACATAATTACAAAACAATTCCCTTTTTCTATTTGAACCTTAAAAAGTCACGTGATCTTCACACAGGAAGTTTTTAAATCGGAGCATACACAATATTTTCAGGTTTATAACTGCAACGAATCGTCTAGATTTTTTTCTTTACGAATTCAAATCAAAGTTCTCACATTTCATTGATTTGTTTTTAATATTTTACTTCTGTCCTCGAGTTCAGGTCCTCTGCACCAGCTGTATGAGCATGCATGAGTCGTCGAATTTGAATGATTTCATAAAGCGTACAACGATAAGTGTCAGATAGTTCTTATTCTTATACCGTTACATTAAACGACAAAGAGGTAAGTAATCACTAAATTGGTCATGTTGACGGCATGTAGGTCATTGATTGCATGTAGGTCATTGATGGCATGTAGGTCATGGAGACCGAGAAATTAGTTTTAGTATGAACATCGGTACTTTGGGAGTAATATAATTTGTTCTATGTCTTTAGATCAACAGTCGGTAAAAGCCCCCAAATGATATATATAGAGATCCAAATATTAATCCTGATTTCCAGGTCCCTGTGACTGATTCCCCGTGGAGTATCAAAAAGCAGACACAAACAGGCGACATAATATACAGGATGAAACTGTACTTTCCTTCAAGTAAAGGAATATCCCGATCCATCTAAAATGTTTATTAAACATTTTCAGTGTTTGAACCTCAAACGATGAATGTTAGAATTTTCAATTATAGCGTCTAAATATTACGTTTATCATAAATGAAACTTGGTCAACCTCTTTCTATGTACAGATCACATTATCTTATCGCTAATCAGTCAGAGGTACATTTTCTCATCTATGTCTATCATAGCAGAGACGTATATATTACAATATATTGTAATAATACGTCTCTGAGCATAGTAAGTCTAGATGATACGTTTGTGATAAAAGGAAGCAAACTACTGCGATACTATATCGTCACCAGTACGTTACCATACCGTTACTAGTCCGTTACCATACCGTTACCAGTCCGTTACCATACCGCTACTAGTCCGTTACCATACCGTTACTTGTCCGTTACCATACCGTTACCAGTCCGTTACCATACCGTTACCCGTCCGTTACCATACCGTTACCAGTCCGTTACCATACCGTTACTTGTCCGTTACCATACCGTTACCAGTCCGTTACCAGTCCGTTACCATACCGTTACTAGTCGGTTGCCAAACCGTTACTTGTCCGTTACCATACCGTTACTAGTCCGTTACCATACCGTCACTAGTGCGTTACCATACCGTTACCAGTACGTTACCATACCGTTACTAGTCCGTTACCATACCGTCACTAGTGCGTTACCATACCGTTACCATACCGTCACTAGTCCGTTACCATACCGTTACTAGTCCGTCATCATTCTGTTACTAGTCCGTTACCATACCATTCCTAGTCCGTTACAAGTCCGTCACCATACCGCTACTATTCCGTAACCATACCGTTAATAGTCTGTTGCCATACCGTTACTAGTCCGTTACCATACCGTTACTAGTCCGTTACCTTGTTCCATTGAGATTCATATTTAAAACTCGTGATATGATTTGTTTCAAGCAGGCGATACTATCTTATACCAAACTATTTTCTTACAGTGACAAAACTATACTTTCATGCTAAATTTTTGTTTAGTGGTTCTACTCAACTGTTGGATCCCAAATTTATCATGAAAACGTTTCTGAAAACTGAAAACCGCACTATACATAATTCTGTAAACAACGCTAACAATCTCACAAATGAAAAAAGTATAATATTACAATGGACATGATAATGTATTACTTGACCAGTATATAATTCATATTCAATTGCACGGGTTACCATTCGATACAAAAGTCTGTGTTTAATTGCACATCAATTTCAATAATACCAGAGTGAGGGCAGTCAGCAGGCATTAACTGCAAGGAGAGCCATGTACACTTACATACATCTACACGTGACTTGTCACGGGGTGTATCACGTGATTTAAGTAACTTGTCACCAGGTGTATCACGTGATTGAAGTAAGCCTCGATTGAGCTACACAATTAACCTGAAGATGTGCGTAACATCTTTCCACGGGATCATCAATCCGTTGCAAGATCAGAAGTGAAACGGTCACGAAATGCAATGGGTATATAGTACAACGTCAGATATAGCCTGACTGTATACCTCCGTCAATACGTCAGATATAGCGTGACTGTATACCTCTGTCAATACGTCAGATATAGCGTGACTGTATACCTCCGTCAATACGTCAGATATAGCGTGACTGTATACCTCGGGCAATACGTCAGATATAGCGTGACTGTATACCTCCGTCAATACGTCAGATATAGCGTGACTGTATACCTCCGCCAATTCATGTACATTTATAATGCCCACGTTGTATGTGACGTCATATTAGACAGTCGTCATCAGCTAGTGATGTCCAAAACAGGTAATATTGGTCCCATACCGGATGTCTGTATTCTCTCCATATGTGTCATGAGCATTTCCGATGATCCAAGCACTATGTACTTAACACATTGAGGGAACGATTAGCACAGTGAAACACCAGTCTCTGTACAGTATAAAGAATATGGGTTCTTCACAATGTTGGGCGAACTTAAGTTTATTAGTTCATCGCCGTGACGTCATCATGTCTTGCCTCACAGATTCAGCATACCTGTAACAGTTAAATGGACTAATTTTAGTTCATTTATAAGTTTTATGAAAATTCTACGAAAATTACATCAAGTTCATTTCATATCACATTATAATTCTAACATAATAATTAACAAGTACACGGCAAACTACCTTTAGAGTAGAGAAGATTCATACAGCTCGTTCATAACAAAGATATATCCTGATTTCAATATGGACAGGTATTCTTATATTTATCATCATAAGAACATGGCTTCATTTCGTTATATGTCAGTCTGTGGATGGCCTTTGTACCACAGGGACCTGATAATTTGTTACAGCTACATTTGGAACTAAATTAAGGTGTTCAGAGTAATTTTACACGTTTTAGGGCTTTAGATCAACTCCTAAAACGTGTACAATTACTCTGAACACTTTAGTTTAGGTCGAAATATAGCTGTAACAAATGCACATGTCCCTGTGCTTTGTACGTGTGTCGACAACGTCTTGCGATTGGACGGGTGATTTGAACGCATACAAACAGAAGTTCATTTTAAACAAGTACAAGTTGTAACCATTCGCTCAAACGTCCCATTTTTATAACTGTGTATACTATAACAAAAAGGCGTCTCAACGTCAACCCAACGTCTTATTCGTCCGTTTGTAATCCGCTACATAAGTTAATCCTCTGTTATTGTGTGGGCCCGTCCGTTACTTTGGATATCACAGACATATATACCGTTAATTTATCATTTCTATAATCAGTGTTGTTTCTTCAATCGATATTTTAATTCTGTTGCAAAAGAAACTTTGAGAAATTTAAGCAAGCCTACGATTAATTTGTTCTAATGTTTTCTTATCTTTATTTCTGTGAAATTTTCTTTTTGTACCTGCGAAGTTTTGCCAATAAAAAGAGAAATTTGAGCGCATCCATCAACAAGTTACTTTTAATTTCCATACACAGTTTCCTATTTTTTCTAAAAATTGAATAAATTGTTTTATAAATGAAGAGAAACCTGAGCAAGTCACATCTGTTTGTTATTTCCTAATGTTGTGTAATCAGTATTTTCTTATCGGAAGAGAATTTCAACAGACTATCATGAAGTTGTTTTTAATTCTGATGTTTACAAAGGATCACTTCAGAGAGTCTACAAACAATTATCCCTTGATTTCCTTAAAATTGGGCGAACTTTTCTCTATTACAAGGGGAAGATGGAGTCTATCAAGATCTTCTGTGCTATTTTCATTTTTCGTAAGTTTCGGTAATTTATAAGCTGATCGGAAGAAATATATATCAAAACGTCTATCATCAGCTTTCTGAAGCGGTATTTGTATATTTTGTATTTCTGTCGGCCAACTAATTACACAATCTTCTTAAATGGAGAGAAACTTCAGGACGTTTGTAATATAGTATGCCTTAATAAGTCTCATTTGAGTACTTTTAAAAGTAAACTACCTTTTCATATATAAACATGAGTAATTATTTAATCAATTTACGATAAGTTTCCAATTATTAGAAACTTTAGCAAGTCTATAATCAATACGTGAAGTATAAGTTGGTGTGTGATATCGTAAATGTCGAACTGTCCGACGATAACGTTGACATTCAATAGTACATGGCATTCACGTAGAACGACAAATTATCCGATATAATTAGCAAAAAAAATTGTGTATTATGTTAAATATGGTTGTTGCCAAGATAACGCGGCTGATAAACCAACAATTACCGCCAACTTCTTTTGAACATGTGCAGCTTATTTTGACAGCTGATGTTAGTTAGAGTGATTTGGGTATTGGTTTACATATTTAACTTTAAAGGGTTAATTTGACACCTCGAACACGCTGAATTACCTCGCGGAGCTTGCGCTAGACGACTAATGTAAACGTTTCCAGTCTCTCTCTCTCTGTGTATTCATCATTCAAAGTCAGTTAGAAAGGAAGTTTCTAATAGGACTAAGGCTAGCAAACTAAATACACTGCTAAACAAATTTAAGGCATCTGAAAAGGCTCTTTCTCCTAATGGCAATGATTAGGACCCAATTTGTGCTTCATTGGAACTCTCCAGCCAGGAAGTTTAATTAAGGCCCTTCATGGCTGTCACTCGCGCCATCTGGGATTATTTGAAACTTATTTCACCCGAAATTCTAAATCGGCGTTAACTAGTGGGTTATTTAAAATGAAAGCAAAATACTAGCGGGCACAGTAAAGAATTACACATCAGGATAATTAAAGCATTCGTTCACAAAGAATTCTCGCACCATCAACATAAAATGGTGCGTCTTTTGAAAATGAGTGGCTATTTTTTTTATATCAGGACGGTGTGGTTTGAGGTTCCATGTGATCGTTATCTCAGCACTGGCGAAGAGGAGTGGGAGCGAGGAATGGGGGGGACTAATGACCAATTACAACCTAATGACAAGGATCCAAGCCGCCATATAACGAATATCTCGGGGGACTGAGCAGTCCTTCACATCCCAAACTTTATCTGTAAGGGATGTTACCGATATAGTAGTCAACACAATGCCGGTACATAACGGGCATTCATTAAACATCCAATTTGGATGAAAATCCTGTGAAAAATAAGAAAGAAAATATCAGTTGCTTAACTCCTCTCTTTCATGAGGGGTTGCCACAAATAATGAAGGCACCCCGACAAATTGCTTCCTACGAGTTGCCTGCCTCCTCTAGTTAGTCCAATTAGGTCTTAATGAGGAAAATTCTATTTTGATTTGAAAATCTTATCATTTTTATCTGTGCGCCGTCGGTAATGAGACAGACCCTGGTGCCTAAGCTACGTACAGTAAACATAATTCCACACCCCAGACGTATGGTTTTTACATACGTGTACCCAATTTGACCCATTTGAAAATTGTTCAACATGCCTAAATGTTTATATGCAGGTTTGCAACCCGGAGAGATCTACTGGATAGAGGGGATAACGACACACTGTTAGGTAGATACGTGACTACAACCACGGGTAATTTCAATCTCAACAATGGTAAACTTGGTAAATAAGTAATATTTGACACTGGTAATCCCGGCACTAATGTAGTAATTCTATACAAGGTCGGAAATCTAAAACAAGACAGGTAAGAAGCTGATGATCTTTGACACCATTTGTGATCAATCATCACCTTGTACAATCCTAATTATCATCACAGATACTGCCTGTTAAGGTATTGTCTTAAGGTGGTCATAAACATTGACTTGAAGACATGTGATAATAAATATTATCCGAAACACACGTGATCGAAGACTTTCAAAAAATTAACTCCATCACTGAAGTTTCATATTCAGGGTACCACGTGTTGCTGCCCAGTTTATGCGTGTTTATCCATAAATGGAAAAGAAAAACTTCCAATAACCGACTTTATTCGAAAACCCATCAGGTCATTTCCAACACGACCAGCAAGGCAGTTTGCATCCAAGGATCACATGGACAAGTACACGTAATTATAAAGTCATTCGAGGAAAACATGCCAACATTTGAGACATGCAGTCGGTCGTTTTATGATTCAAGAGCAAAAATTAAATTAAATCTACCCACAACACCAAATTAATTTTCGTTTTTACTACAGCAATTATCACTCAACCCAGCTTCAAGTAGGATATTTGTTTTCAAGAAAACATCAAATTAGTCTAAAATACGTTCTGTCTGAAATTGAAAATCACGTAGATCCCGATTTCTGAGACATATTATCCATGACTTTTTGTCGGCGGACGGCATTTAAAAGACAGCTGTAAAAGATCACACAAGGAAATGTTATATGATTAAATTTATATTCTCCCGGTATAAAACGTTAAACTAATGAGTTTGTGCAGCTTAGCACACCCGGGACTGTGAAAAGGACCACGAAACACGTCTCGAAACTACACAACCAATACTGATTTGGCACCCGGGACTGTGAAAAGGACCACGAAACACGTCTCGAAACTTCAAACACCTCGAGACTACTGAATTTGAGCAGATTTACTAAACTTTTATTTCTGTATTTCTTTTTCAATTATGTGTGTGTGTATATGTAAATAACATACACTTTAAGTGGAAAACAAGATACTGAATTTACTTTTGCCAATACTATTGTTTTAAATTATCAAAGTTATTGAATTACATTTTATCATTATTATAAAAAAAAAATCACTATTGATATTACAAAACTGCTTGTATATATACATCACAAAGCATGGACGAGATGTGGTGAACATCAAGTAATTGACGGGACAAATAATGGTTACTTCCAAATCGAACTCGTCCGAAAACATCAAACTTCTTTCACTTGATTAATCACAACACACCTGTACTATAGTGGCACCTGTCACGTGTCTGTCCGTCCGTCTGTAAATATGGTCTGTCTGTAAACTTCTATACTATGTATCCCTAAAGTACCCACTGCGCACGTACAAAACATGTCCGTGTGGGCCTGTACAAAGAATACAATAGTGGCTGTCAGACAGGAAGTGCGCGATAATATCGCAATAATATCATATTCATATCACCTCTCCTGAGTAAAGATGTCCCTTTCAACATAAAAATGAGTCCATTATGAAATTTACAATCCATCCCCGGTAAAACCATACCCGTTCTAAAAGCAATATTGAATCTACCAAATGAGATTTCACGTTTTATAATTAAGATTTTAATCGACTGTATATATTTGTTCAGAGATATATTTACCGAAATTCAATCGGTGCTTGGTATGAGAGGAAATGAGTATACAATGGATTTGTGGTCGGCCGTATGCGCACCGTCAGTGCTAATGTGCTCAATGTAACCCTGTGTTAGCCCTGTAAAACACCCCGGTGTCACTGTTTAGTCTACATAGCAGAAAAAGTAGCTTGAAAATGAATCTGTACCGTGTAAATAGATCTTGGAAACGATCCGTGCGAGCATAATAGGAGGAAAATGTACACAGGGTCTTAGTTAAACAAACGCTAAGGCCTTAACAACACTACAGCTAATGGACTCCTAAATAGAAATAATTATTGGGGAGAGTTATGAAAATAGCCTTGTCGAATCTACGCGTTAATTGGCTTTTAAACTTT